GGGGGGTAGGGGCAGGGCTGCCTCCGGCTCCCTCCCGCTAATAAATAAGTATATACACAATAGCAATAAATAGGGCAGGCTCGGCCCCCCGCTCAGTACAGCGCCCGGTGCGAACCTGGGGGTGGGGCCTGGCCAGCTTCCCCCGTCCCCCAGTGCCCCTCCCCTTGCTGTGGCCACCCGCTCCCCGAGCGCCTACGCAGGGCGGGCAGCTGCCAGGCCTGAGCCGCTGGGCATTGAATCCAGCCGTGCCGGATGGGCGTGCAGCCCCAGAGCCTCATTCACTGCAGGGACGGCGCCACTGGCCATGGGGGGCAGGTTATTTGATCCAAGGCTCCCAGGGAGGAGGACACACTAATGGACCCAGCTCCCAGTGGGGCAGCTCCGGTTCTGCCCTTGGGGGAACAGGCCTGGCCCCCAGAGAAGCCCCCCGCCCCTGGCCTCATGGTAACTGCTGGTGCAGGCCCCTCTCTGCCCCCTGGAGGTGCTGTGGCTACTCTTACAGGGGGCAGGATTTCCCTGCTTCACCCCAGGGGAGCCCTAGACCCTGGGTTCTGCTGGAGACAGCAGCCAAGGCAGGTGCAGGACAAGCAGGGCCAGTGCCCCAAGCTGCAGGGCCAGCACTCGCTGCCCCCCAGCCCTGCACGTACAGGCCCTCTTACCCCCTCGGCTACTCCCCTGGAGGTGCTGTGGCTACTCTTACAGGGGGCAGGATTTCCCTGCTTCACCCCAGGGGAGCCCTAGACCCTGGGTTCTGCTGGAGACAGCAGCCAAGGCAGGTGCAGGACAAGCAGGGCCAGTGCCCCAAGCTGCAGGGCCAGCACTCGCTGCCCCCCAGCCCTGCACGTACAGGCCCTCTTACCCCCTCGGCTACTCACGCCCCGGCTCTTGGCTGCCTGCAGGCGACGCAGGCAAGGAGCGGCCCAGGCCCAGGCCCAGGCAGCGGGGGCCGCGGGCAGCCTGCTCACTGCTGCACTGGGGCACTGAAGATCTAGGCGCTGGGACAACTGGA